CCAGCGTGTTTCGCTATACGATTTCGGCTTTCGATCGGTTAGATCCTGCCATGCCAACTTTGCTTTATGGCTGTGACTGAATAAGCGTACCCACAGGTTTCCAAACTCCAAAAGAGTAGGAATTTCCAGGTGTTTGCCAACATTATCGAGCGTGTGGGAAAAGCAGACAATGTTCAACATCTTTGGGAAGATGAATGCTATCCGATCCAATGCTGCTTGATTGACACTTGCTCCATCCCTCATCGCTGCAAGCAAAGAGTTCGCCTTGATCCCAAATTCAACGCAAAGGGCTTCGTTGAGAACTCTTGCTAGTTCTTCTGAATTCACCGACTTTGAGCAAATGTCAATTCTTATAAGACGCTGTGTTATCATCCACTCATCATTAATAAAGCGAAGGATTATCGCAATAGCCTCACCTTGCCTGGTGCTCCCGTCAAATATTACTGAAACGTCCCTTGTCATATCTTCTCCTGGCAAAGACAGTTCCTTCTTTATTCTCTCAACTTCTTGCTTGAAAATAAGAGAAACATACTGTCCGAGATGCGCACTATGAGTGAGGCGATACCCATTTTTCTCTAGCAAAGGACGTAGCCTGTCTACCTTCCCGATTGGAATCCCTGCTTTCAAAAATTCGTCCACTACTTCCTGTCGGTATGCTTGCTCAGCCAACGGCAGCGTGTTGTCTTTACGAGTCTTCTCTCTGCTGAGTGCCTCGGCTATCGTTTGTTCTCTTAACCTTGATCTCTTCAGCGCATCTTTCCCTTTGGCATGTTTTCTTGAACTACAATGTGATGCTAAAATGCTCTTTTTGGATGATACCATTTCTCTGCAGGCATTGCAAAAGATCGTTGTGCCTCTGACACTCAGGTGCTGATCAGGGAACTGATTAATACGATCTTGCAAAGGGACACTTTTCACATTAGTGACATTACTCGTCCCCCTCCTCTTGTATTTTCCAGTGGTGGATTCGAGGCGTCTATCCCGGGCAAGTTGTGCAGGCTTTGGTCTATCCTCTCTGTTCTCGCAACCTTGTAAACTATCTGGATGTAAGTTCACTGCACTTGACTGGTTTGGCGTCGCGGCCGCCATTTTGAAACGAGCACTGGGAGAAAGACTAAGGAGTCTGGGACCGAGACAGACTTCCGGTTCCGTTTCATCGAACTCCCGCGGTATCTCAACACAAGTAAAAAAAAATCGAAAAATAGGAGTGGAAGCAACTGTTAATAGTAATCTATCGTTTTTAGTAGCTGAGATCTTCGTTTTCTTGAATTATTCTAAAATTGTGCTATTAAGACAAGAAAATATACGGATTATGCTAGCAGTGCTACTTTTGGAAAAAGGGCAAAAATTATGCTCAATTCCTCAGATTATGCCAAAAATTATGCTAGCACAATCGGCAAGAGCCTAGCCGGAGCCCTGGAGTCCTAAACCCGTTTGGGACCCTGAATAATACAAAAAAATATTTGTCTGGACGATAAGTCGAAAATTTACTAGACAAAGATCAGCTAAGGTAATCAGGATGTTTAGTTACCTGTGGGAGAGTATTTACTTCTAAACATCGACACAGGTAAGCGTTTAACCTCTTGAAACACGCCTTATACAAAACGGAATTTTTCCCGCCAAAAAAAATTATGTAGCACGCTGCAGTGAATCCCCGCGGATTTTATCTCCGCAAAGTTCGACCTTCACAAGCATAAGAAAAACCATTCAAAGCTAATATAAATAATAACGAGGATAATCTGAAAAACTGTCTCAATTCAGTAAGGTGAAAAGACAAATATATCAGACCAGCCGTCTTGTTTTGCTTGCCTGTAGTGGTACAAACTATTATGAACTATTTTACTGCTTTTTCACTTGCTTTTGCCTCATAATATATGTAACCTAAATGTAAGACTTCAAGCAGTGCTGTGGCAGATATTTCATCGCCCAGTCCATGATAATCAGGCTTGATTCTTCGTCAAGCTGAGTAAGAGCGTTCTGTTTTACTTCTTCTTGATTAACAGAACGAAATAAATGTGCTTTCCAGGCTTGAACTGCTCGAAAGCACTCCTTATTTTCGAATTTTATTCTTGCTCTCGTTTCGTCTCTGATGACCAAGTCCTCGATCTTCTTTAATATGTCACGGAATCTCGAATCAAGAGAAGAAGACTATACACCAGCTTCCTGTAAAAAATTAGTTAGATAATGAATAACCATTACCAGCCAAGCGTTGGTCCAATAGTTGAATTCACTATCTCCGCCTTTATCATACTGTACCGCGTTTATATGTCGTTGCACTGTAAGCACTTCTCCTATTCTGAAGTTTCATTATTGGCCAGTTCTTAGATAACAGCAAACTATTTGATGACATCTAACTAGGCAGTGGACTAATGAATCCTAACATCAGCAGCCTGAGACAGGGCTCCGCAGTGGCGGAAAAAGGCGAAAAATAAATCAGCAAGTGAGGCGAGCCGAGCGATAGTCTGGGATGGGGAAAGGGTGGCGCTCTGTTTCACCTCGTTTCTTGTCTTTTTCTCTTACTGCGGAGGATAGACCCAGGCTATAACGTTATTTCAGTCAGGATCAAAACATGGTTAGGAACTGTGTAGCGCTGATAAGTTGATTACAATTAAAATTTGTCTTAGTGTCCTTAGCGCTAAAATGTTTGAAAATCCAGACGCTTCGGGACTACTGTCCCTTCATCAGTGGAAGATGCCGTTACACTGAATGCGCGTCATTTTATTCAAATGTGGCAACATTTGAAACGCGCGCTGGAAGAGTTCGCTCAAATAAAATTGAAGTCAATGTTTATTTTCTCACGTCAAGGAAACAGCGTGTAGTGATTGAGGGTCAAGCATCTGACTGGTTAAGTGTTACATCTGGTGTGCCCCAAGGCAGTATACTTCGGCCTTTGCTGTTCCTTGCATACGTCAACGATCTTCCTTACTCAGTAACTTGCAACTCAGATTTGTTTGCTGACGATACTGTCCTTCATCGACACTTAGAAAATAGATCGGATTGCGATCTACTTCAAGAGGATTTGACTTCTGCCTCTGAATGGTGCAAGAGTTGGCTTGTTACTCTTAAGACCGAGAAGTGTGAAGTCTACACATTACACGGAAGAAAGATCCAATAAGATGTCAATATTCGTTGAATAACTTCTTACTACCGGAAGTGGACCACCACAAACACCTGGGACTTTGGTTGGAGTCGTCTTTATCATGGGATTATCACATTAACTCAATTTGTGCTAAAGCTAACAAGGTGTTGGGCTTGATTAAAAGGACATTTGGTTATTCAAACAAGACTGATATCAAGACAGCTTTCAAGGTGCTAGTGATACCTATCCTTGAGTACGCCTGCCCAGTCTGGAACCCTTATCTGGTGAAGCACACCAAGGCAATCGAAGCAATTCAGAGAAGAGCGTCCCGACTAATATGTGGGCCCCGACAAAGAATATCCTGAAAGACTTCTAGAGTTAAAACGGGACTCTTTAGAACTGAGAGGGAAATATCTTAGCCTAGTTTAAATGTATAAGATTATATTTGGTTACTGTGATATCAATTGCCATCATTACTTTGATATTATTGGAATAACTCGAACTAGAAGTAAGCATGAGTATAAAATAAGCCTAAAGTTGCCCGTACAAATTATTTTAAATATTCATTTTTTCATAGATATATTAATGATTGGAACTCTTTGCCTTCTGAAGTAATGTTATCTTCTAGCCTTCAGTCTTTTAAAGTTTCACTGATTAAGTACCTTCGCTCATAATTTACCTTATAATACTAGGCATAGTGTCTTTAATATAAGTTTATGCATTATTATTAGGCATCTAGGTTTATAATTTATAGTCTAATTTATAGTCTTTTAATATATGTTGATATATTAATTAATTAATTTTTTAATTTTTTTTCTTTTTTCTTTTTTGGAGGGTATGTCTTAGCATGGGAATTTTGTTTCCCCCTACTACCGTCCTGTTAACCATTTTTGTATTTTTGTTCGATTGTATATGTTAGTATTAGTTCATTTGTATCAGTTATGTATGGTTACGAACTGTGATTGAAGATTAAAGATTAAAGGAATGCTTATGCCGCGTGGCTGTAGAGTTTTGCATTTAAAAATTCGGCGGCCCTCCGATCTACGTCTGTCCCTGGTGTTGTGAAGACCCGCTCGAACAACAGCTACCATCATATCATCTGTTGTGTGACCGGGGGAGGAAAAATGTATAGCAACGGGTAGGTCAGCTTTCTTTGAGACAGATCGGAGGTGTTCGCAGAACCTGTCCCCAAGCCTGCGTCCGGTTTCGCCAACGTACGACAGAGTGCATGCCCGACAAGTTATGATATACACGAGGTTACTTGTCATGCATGAGAACCTCTGCCGTATGGTCAGAGGTCCACCGGGGGTGTTGATCTGGGAGGCTGGGTTGGTATGGTCACAGGTCTTGCATCGTGGACGACGGCAGGGAAAGTTTATAACGTTCTTTATTTTGCACACCTTAACTCATGCAAACGAACTCATGTTCTTGACAAACTAGTCCTTACCACATAAACTCAACTTAAATTATTCCTCAGAAAATATATGATGTAAACTAAAGCGTAAAATATGCAGCAACCCATCAAAGAAGAAAATGTTCACTTCATTTTGTAAGAACATCGCTTCTTCAAGATGAGGTCACGGCGTTTTTGAATCCCGTGATGTCAAATTCGTCACGAGGATTTCTCGTGAAAACAAAATTTTGTACAAACATGGACTTGGCTATCCCCCTTGGGTTAGAATTTAGGGAATCGGACCGGTCTTCTGGGACTGCATGGGTTCAAATCCCTTCGTTCACGTGTTTCTATCATTGTAAATTTCCCGCAATTTTGATTTCATCGACAGTTCCAACTTTATAATGTAAACTTCATCTAGTAAACTCAAGTAATTAGTGAGTCAACCCTAGCTTTCGTTCAGGACTCGAGTATACACAATGCTTTTACTGACCTGTTCCATGCCTTCATCCAAATGTAGATCAACATCACTTTTTTCGCGTATTTTATAGTGTTCTGTCCTACAATTTGTGCAGATTGCTATCGAGAGTAAACAATAACAGAAAACAATCAGAATTGCAGCCCACTTATCAAAGTGCCACGCCCCTACCCCTCCCTCCCAGACACTTTTACTGGAAATGAACAATGCAAAAAGATCACAATTCTTTGTGCTAAGCCAATGGTATTTTTCTTCTTAATTTTTATATTAACGTAATACATGTTTACTGTAAAGTTTTTGTGAAAAGTTTTGTATGTAACTGATAATATTCTCACTAGTCCAATTTTTATGTGAGGCATAATTCGCAGACTTTAGAGAGCACGTGCGCAAACAACTTTAAAATGAGATTGGTTTTTGATGAGCGTGAAATTTATCAGCTTCAGTTTATTGTATTGGCATTTTTTATTTCATTGGCATACATGTTTTGTGCCTCGTATAATATTAGTGAATCGTCATTCCATGGTTTTATGCTATTACTTTTTTTCAACATTACATGCCTCTAAAAACCACTGTAACTGAAGACATGAATGAACAGTGCAATGAGCCGCACGTATCAGTTGTCCCATAACCTAAACAGCACGTGAGTATGCGAGAATTGACTAAATGTAAGAGAACTCTTCACTCATCTGCCCCGATAGGAACAATCTCCTTGAACTCAACAAATGTTTCTACAGACATTTTTGCAGTAACACGTCTAGGGAGACTAAGTCACCTTTTCAACCCTTGATGAGCCGGGGGAAAGAAATCTCACTCAGGCTACTGATTTTGCTGGAGAAGGTTACGAGAAAATATCTCGAATCTCCTGAGAAAGACACTTACACGCACTAGGACATGTCAGTGACCTGGCATCACTGCAACCTAGTCAGATACTATCATACCGGTTCAGCCCAAAAAGCATTTTTGACCTTGAAGGAAGCACAACAACACGGATCACCTACGCTATTGGTCACTTTTGCAGCCAATGGCAAGTTAGTATTTTCCTGCCACCAGTATTTAAACAGTCTGCTTCGCTCTCTGTACCTAAGACTTTACCATAGTACCAACTGACGAAGAGCGCTATGGTTCCGAACCTGTAGACTTGCTTAAGATTTCATAGCAGTCGCATAGACGACTGTTAAGCAAAATTTTAAGTAAATGCCTACGAAGGAACAACAAGACATCGCGCTCTAGTTCAAAGACTCACTATGTTAAAAACTAAATGGACTGTGTGAGCGCTAAGAGAATTATCTTGACTGATGCACGGCATATTTCTCCAAACTTGGGGTAGCTGTAGTTTAAGCTACAGTGTACAACTCAAATCTGAAGATCGCACTATCCGTGGAAATTCAAAATCCTGCAAACCACACTATATAGCTGGGCCCAGAGTCATACTGACATGGCAGGAAATAATCACATTCACAGACAAAGAAACTTGCATGCATGCATGTAGTTATTCAGATACAGTCATTTCGGAGAAAACCAAAAAAACTAAAATCTTTATTCAGCCGTATTAAACGGAGGTCAAAGGATATAAAACACTTTACAACTGCATCTGAAATCAAATCCTATCAGGGACACCTACAGAAGCATAAACCACAGGAAATGATTACTCAGTATGCATGTAACAAACCATTCCATTTTTCGCCTTATCATTTTACTAATTGTACTGTTCAGCAAAGATAGACAAAGTAACGTCGAATAAATTCACAGTGGTTCGATGTAGCGTGACACGAAAAACAAGATTTAGCGGGAAAATTGGGCCAATTTCATTCCATCAGTTGATGTCTGATTTTATTGAATTAAATGCGGGCTTTATCAGAATTACAATCTAATAGCCACTAAGGAGTGAAAGAGATTCAACCTGATCACCTTGAAGACCTTGCTGAGGATGTGTGAGCTCAATGCCGAGAGAAGTTGATGGAAAAAAATTCGTCAGTGAAAATTTGGCAGGAAAGTTTTGGCTTCACGCTATTTTAGTGGAACTTTCCAAGTCAGTAATTCCGAGTTACTGAGAGATACCATTTTTAAGTTTGCTGCATTTTAGCAAAGCTTTAAGAGCGACTCTCTATAGGGACCGAGTGAGATTGAAAAAATGTGGCACAAGGTGGGAAAAATGGACCCCTTGATATCTCGTCCAGAGATAACCTATGGTATGCTAAGAATCGTGATATAAGTCTTAGGTTCTAGAGTTTTTACATTTTTGAGAAAATTACGAAAAAACGTCGACAATCCGTGACGCCGAAAAATCGCAGAAATGAGGTCAAATTTCATGATCAGATAATCGAACTCGCGTGAAGGCGCATAGCAAATTATGGCTTTCCGTAGTTTATAATTTTATTTAGGAGGTATTGCTGAGCTGCTTTGATGATATTTTAGACTTACAATTGTAATTCCGAATCCCTGGAGAGCGAGCGAAGAGAGCCGAAATTTCTAGACTTTGAAAATCAAAAATTCCATACCGTTTTCAAACATGTCAAAACATACTCGGTATTATGTAGAATTCTTTCAAAA